CCTTTTTATCAGTAAGCGAGAATAGCAGTATGCATCTCCTTCTAATGAGTTTTTCAAAAGAAAATGAGGAAAGAAATATCCAGTTCTATACGTATTTGGAAAGAGGAAATGGTTTTGTTTTGTTTTGTTTTCACCAGGTATCTTAGGAATTGAATATCTTTAACGCAGCAGACCAACAGCAACCTCCTAAAAAGGTATATTAAAAATTAAAACAAAAAATTCCTCAGGAGGAAGGCTTGTTTTGCAAAGATAAACCTTTATTGCTAAATATCAATAGAATTTTAGAGACCTTAGAATATTATAATTGTTGCCATGTCAAGGAATATTCCTTTGAGCTGCTAAGCAGTTTTCACTATATGTTCATCAAATTACTTTGCTGATAAGAAAATCTGGACTTTTCAAAAGTGTTGTGTCTTTATCAAAAAATCTGTTTTTTTCAAAGTTAAATGTGGAGTGTCATTCTTACAAAGCTATTAGTATTGGTACTGGTATAATTTGTTCTTGCTAACATTTATTGCATATGTCTATATTCTACCTACTTTGCTGCATTACCTTATTTAAACCCAAGACAACACTATTATATAAGTGATTTTATTAATCCCGTTTAATTGCTAACAAAAAGCAAGGACAAATTATCTGCCAAGTTCATACAGGTATTAAGTGATGTATCCCCTTTTAATCTCTATGTTATACTAACATCTTGGAGAAGAAAATTAATGTATTTTAAAGATGCATTTTAACACTAAAAAGAAACATCTGAGTTTAGTGTACATGAAATGTCATCTTTTCAGGGTGGCATGCAACAGATTTATTTATAAAAAATGAAGAGAATTGCTAAAATATACAACAAAAATTAAAACCAGGTTAAGACAAGGACACAGATAATCATGGAACAAAAAATTTGGGTCCTAAATAATACTGATTACAATATTTGTAGCCAAGAAAGTGAGACTTTCACTTTGCCAAAATCAGATCACATACTCCAAGAACATTTAGTTTGGTTTACAGTTTTAAAAGGGATACAGAGAAGTGTTGCCAAATAGGGGCCACATAACTTAGTGGTTAAAAATGTCAGTTTTGGTATCTGATACCTGGATTCAAACTAGAAATCTACTTACTAGCCACGACCCTCATCAACTCATCTCTCACTGCCCCTATTCTCTCAGCTGAACATTGAGAATAATAGTAATAATAATAATAATAATAAATTTTCAGGGTTGTTAGGAGGATTTAATGAGAGCAAATGTTAGTAAAAGAGAAGCATTCAATTAATATTAATTTTTAATATATTCAGAGACAGTTCAGAAAATTAAGATCTAAAATATCACAAGGTAAGAAACAGACGAATAGAATTTAGGAAAGTGGGCAACTTAACTTCCATGGCCTCCAGAATCACAGACTTTTAAATAGCTAGACAGAAATTACAGTAAAATAATTCCAACCAAAAAAGAAAGAACACTGTGAGAATTAGAACTTTCCCTAAGACAGAATGGACATCTTCAAAATTAGGCATTGACTTAGTAGACATTATTGTAGAGGAGCTTAAAAGAGGTTTGATCAAGATATCTTTTAAACTTTCCTAAAATTTAAGATTCTATGAAAAAAATGACCTTAGAAAATCATATGAAGCAATTTCTCTTACTGTAAAAGTCTACTTAGGTAGAAAACCAGTCAACAACGTCTAATCACCTCATCTTTTAAGCCTATAATTTTCTAAAATTTCTAGCCCACACTGATAATTCTCTGAATTGCTAGCATTCATGTAAATAACACATGAATGTTTACATTTTAAAAATATGCAGTTTTATAATATTTCTAGCTTTTCCGATTGATTTTTCAAAATTCCAAGTCAATGATCAATGCTGGATGAATAGAGATCATGCAATATATTGCTCTTCTTTACCTTATGGTACTTACCACATTGATGGACACAGAAGTTAATGCTAAGCAAATAGTGATTTTCTGTTCAGACCTAAAGCATACTGTTGAACAGAAATTTCAATACAAATCCAAGAAACTTACTTTGAACAACTGTACTTTATTTGGATAACCAAAAGTTAAAGAACAAAGTTATCTAGGTATTTCAGAAGTAAAGATATGTCTGTTTTCAACATTTGCATAAATAACTTAAATAGACTTGATTATAAGCCAATCTTTCATCAATATAGAGTATTTTTTTGAGAAAATTGTAAAATGTTATCAGTAGTAACATTTCTCATACCAGAAGCATATCTATGTTGCTTTTTTAAAAATTAAATTTCCTGGAAAAAATGTGCTCTGTAGAATGCTTATTGTATTATGTATGGGTTATATGACATGATTCAAAATTAGAATAATTGCTTTCTTCATTACTACCTATAATAAATAAATATCTATTAATTTAGTTTAATGATTGATTATATATAATTAGTCCTATAGATACCTACTATTTTTCTGGATAAATTAAAGTCACTTTCTCTCTATGACCCTTGTTCTACAAAAGTAAAATCAAAATTTAAATATGCATTCCTTTTACTTCCAAACAAGTAAAGAACTCTCAATGTTATCCTCCTCTTTAAAAAGAAGTCTGTTTGAACTGCTGATCCTTTAAAAAAATTGACACTATTTTGATTTACAAAGAAATAGATTTTTTTCAGAGTTTTAATTTAGTAAAACATAAAGACAAAAGCATATATAATTATACTAATAAATGACTGCATTTTTCTTTTCTATATCTATCTGATATAGATACATAGATGAACAGACTGACCACAATCTCAAAGAAGTCAAGATAAAGGTATTTAAACAAATACTAAGATCAAATTCTCAGAAGTACCGACCTCACCAAAAAAATAGAGCCTTGTCGTAAAAACTTAGGAGTTTATGAATCAGAATGCCTAGGTTTGAATCTAGGATCCATCGGTTAAGGAAACTTCAACAAGCTACTTAATCTTTCTAAACATTAGGGTTCCCACCTCTGAAAGAGGTTTAACAATATTATTCTCATAAAATTCTGAGCAATTTTTTTTTTTTTTTTTGAGACGGAGTCTCGCGCTGTCGCCCAGGCTGGAGTGCAGTGGCTGGATCTCGGCTCACTGCAAGCTCCGCCTCCCGGGTTCACGCCATTCTCCTGTCTCAGCCTCCCGAGTAGCTGGGACTACAGGCGCCCGCCACCTCGCCTGGCTAGTTTTTTATATATTTCAGTAGAGACGGGGTTTCACCGTGTTAGCCAGGATGGTCTCGATCTCCTGACCTCGTGATCCGCCCGTCTCGGCCTCCCAAAGTGCTGGGATTACAGGCTTGAGCCACCGCGCCCGGCCAATTCTGAGCATTTAATAACATAAAGTATCTGAAGCATTTTGAATTTATACTTAGCATATAGTAAGCATTATGTAACTATTTTAGATTACTGTTATTATCATTAGTAGTATCTGGTTATTCATACTCCTCTTAAGGAGCATAGCCCTGGACAGGTAACCAATCCCATTTAAAGAGTAGAATGTAAAGCAGACTTTTCTCTACCAAGGGCTTTCTTGATGCCCTGAGGCTCCAGAGAATTAATTACAATGTGTGGCCATGTTTCCAGTGCTCTACAACTGTGTGTTCTAGAACCTTGGTACTGAACAAAGCTAACCAGGACATATGGGGTAAATCCATTTGATACCGCTGTCTTAACCAGCAGTCTCCAAAATCAGGGGAAAAAAACCAAAGCAACATTTTGAATATGTACCCTGAAATAAATATCTGATGAATGTAAATGACCCACTGTACTGACAAATTACATTATAAAACATTCTGAAGAAAGAACTAAACAAAGGTCTGAACCTTTCTTCAAACTGTTTCCCTGGAAATATTTCAGGCTAAGAAAAACATTGACTGGCAGCTGTGTTACCAGCAACATTGTTTATTATCAGTGAAATGCTTCTGGACGGAAAGACTGTGATTGAACTATGAAACCATTTTGGGCCTCACGGACCTCAGCCTCCTTGTGTACAGTGTGTTCTTGATCCCAAGGGCATCCCTTGAGGGGACCTACGCTGTTCCCAAGATACAGGTTCCTGTGGAGTAGGAATGAGCCTTACCCAATGCAAGGTAGACCAGGCCTACCCACACAGGTTCCTCATCTTAAAACAGAGTTGCTACATGAAGGAGTGGGGGTAAATGCTTCCTGAGCAACTATAGGGACTCCTACTGAATAAGCACCTGACATTATCCTGTTGACATTCTGTGTGTCCTGCCCTGTATCCTGCTAAACCAAGTAAACCTGCTGCCAGACCTATTATGTCATGCAAGTGTGAATGTCACGCCAAAGCCACCAAGTTCACTGCTGGTGGCCATACAGACATACGCATGTGCAAAAATATATTATTTTCTTCATCTATCTTCATGTATTATTTTAAGCACCATGCTTTTGAGTATACTGCTTGGATACACATACTTTCAGAATATGTTATGTATACTCTTTGCAATAAGCTTAAGATACATTATTTTTTCACTTTATGAATTTTTTTTCCTTTGGTGATTTTGACAGATCCTTTTCTTCGGTTACTTTAAATCTTTGACTCTCTCTGCAAGTATTACTTCCTGTAGAACTTTTAAAATGAAAAACTAGAAATTCCATTGTTATAAATCTTGCTTTAGCAGGACAGTTTCAGGAAATACAAACATTAAAATATATTCCTGATGTTCTCTATTCTTAAATTTTTTCCTTTAGAAGATGTTAAGATATATCCATAGGAAGACTTAGAAACTAAAAGGTTGTGGGAGAGGTAACTCTAGCATTTAAATGTAATATACTTTATACTGGTTTCATTACAATATGCTATGCTAAAAATAGAATTATGTCTTCCATTCTTGACACTATTCTCAGTTCCACTCTTGACACTATCCCCAATAGTGGAGAAACTATTTCTTCCACTCTTGATAATTTTACACTTCCTATGAAATTTCCTATAGAGTTGTCTTTCATTACCCCATTTTGGGGTACAAATGGTTTTAAATACATATATTTGTAAACTTACCCTGAAACATGCAACATCAGCAGCACGTAGAAGACAAAGAAGAGGTTATGAGTATACCAGAAGATATCATAGTTAGAAACTCTGCAAAACAAATATATTCATTTTAATGCTACTTTACATTCCATCTTACTAAAAATATCAAAATATCATATCTCTCACAATTTAAGAAAGCTAAAATATGAGTATGTCTGATTTTCATCTACTAATACCAAAGTATTAACACACCATATAGAGAGAACTGACAAAAAATATGAGTAAGAATTTATCATTTTGTAAGTTATTTGTATTTCAAATAAAGACACATGGAAATAATAAAAAATAAGTTGTTTATTTTCAAGATATTACGATATAAGACTAAGAAGCAGATAGTAGTCTGCTAATATGTACCTTGGCTATTATTTTATCAATATTGTCAATTTTCAAATAATTTCCAAAACAACCAATACTCCTCTTTCAATACATATTTTGAGAATAGTTCAAGGGAAACTCAAAAAGAGAGAAATTAAAATAAATCATGACCAAAGTGTTATATTCTTTTCCTGGACAGTGTAATCAGAATGATACCTCGATGTTATTGCTCTGAGGGAGGACAAAGACACTGAAAAGACAGCGAATGTCGAGCATAATCTACAGAACATTTGAGAGAAGTAAAAGAGTAACAGTTATTTTATTTCATATGTCCAGGGTGGATTTTATATATTAGAATCTTGGAAGTAGAGGGCAGATATTTACAAAAGCTTCCTAGATGAACGTGATGTTTCCCATAGACTCTTAGAGAAACCCTTATTTAAGCAGCAGGCAATTGCTTTACATTTACTCTACTCATAGTATTTGCTATCATAAACAATATCCTTACCATGCCTTGTAACATATACAAAGTTCTGATTTTTTTTTTTTTTTCGAGATGCAGTCTTGCTCTGTTGCCCAAAGTGGAGTGCAGTGGTACAACCTCAGCTCACTGCAACCTCCACTTTCCACTTTCAAGCAATTTTCCTGCCTCAGCCTTCTGAGTAGCTGGGATTACAGGCACTCACCACCATGCCCAGCTAATATTTGTATTTTTAGTAGAAATAAGGTTTCACCATGTCGGCCAGACTGGTCTCGAACTCCTGACCTCGTGATCCACCTGCCTCAGCCTCCCAAAGTGCTGGGATTACAGGTGCGAGCCATCGTGCTTGACCCTCTGATCCTTTTTTAAATCAAAACCATTATAATGTGAATCGCAAGATTTAGGGATACACTTTTCTAATGCTTTTAATACACACTGCCCATTGCCCTCTAAAAACACATTTATTAATTACAAACCCAACCGTAGGCTAGGAGTGCCTGTTTCCCAAAACTCAGACCAAATTTTGTAAGTTTTCATTATTTATTATAAGTAGGATGGGGTATTATTTCATATGTGTGTTACTCACTTTTAATTCTTCTGTGACCTTTCTGTTCATAATCATTACCCATTTATATAGAGTATTTTAAATTAATATGTGTAATTTGTTACACATACTAGACCTACATTAAACTTGACTTTCCTCATAAGCTTGTAATGCCACCTTTATTATCTAGCAGGTTCTTATATATAGCAAGGTCATTTTCAGGGCTTTTTACTGACTTTGTCCCTTGGTTCAATGTGTTGGTCATTTTTGCAAGTAAGTCCCACTCTCTTTTAAGTTACTGAAGTTTAATCATTTTAATGTTCAGTAAGGCACATCCCTCCTTTTACTCCTCTTTTGAAATATGTACTTGGATGTGCCCCAGACAAACTTTGGAATCACTTTGCTAAATTAAAAAAACAAACAAAATACCCCGTCTGAGAATGTTATTGAAATTGAAACACCCCTAAAAAAAAAAAAAATCGAGGGGTCAGGCATGGTGGCTAATGCCTGTAATCCAATACTTTAAGAGGCAGAGGTGGAAGGAGTACTTGAGCCCAAGTGTTCGAAACCAGCCTGGACAACATATTGAGACCTTGTCTTTACAAAAAAAGTAAAATAAAATAAAAATAAAATTAGGCATGGTGGTGTGTTCCCGTGATCCTGACTACTAAGGAGGCTGAAGTGGGAGGATCCCTTGAGCCTAGGAAGTCAAGGTTGGGGCTTCAGTGAGCTGTAATCTTACCACAGTATTCTAGCCTGGTTGAGAGAGAAAGATCCTGTCTCAAAAAAATAATCATAATATAATAAGAACTATATCTTTATAGTATACAGCCTTTATTTAAATCTCTACATATTTCTCTCAGTGAACATACTTCTTTTGTCTCCAGATATTATGTGTTTTGCTGCAATTGTGAGTAGTTTATTTTTATTTTATTCATTTTTTCAAACTAATTATAGTTAACAGACAGAAGGATTATTTTTACATTTGTTTTATATTCAATTACCTTTTTCAACTGTTTCACTTGGTGTTAACACCAAATTTTTCCATAATTCTCTTCAATTCTCTTAGAAACCTAATAATTACCAAAATAATTATCAAACATAGATATTATACCTACTTTTCTGGAAATAAAATAATTTATTGTTGCATTTTTTTCTAATAATTCCAAATGTTTCATTTTTTACTGTATGTAAATATTGGTAGAATTAAAAATACTTTTTGTTTTTTCTTGATTTTCTTAGGAATACATCTAGTATTTCACTGTTGAGTATAACCACAATTCTAGCTTTTATATTTTTTAATTCTACAATGGAAATAATTTTAATTTTTAGTTTATTTACTGTGAGTATTTTAAGTCAAAATTTGAGTTCATATTAGTAACTGCCATTTTAAAATCAATTGAGATGAGAAAATGTATTCCTGTCATCTGATAATAAGATACATTAATTATTTTAATAGATTGACCCATATTGAACTCTCCTTGAATTAGGAGGCTACATTTCACTATCAGAAATCAAACACTGCAGGCTTATTTATTCACTTGATTTGTCTAATGCTTTAGTTTCTTACTGAGAAAAAGAAAAGGTAAAATAAAAGAGATATCTGTCTCCATGATTCATTTAAGAATTTCATGATTCTAACAATAATACTTACAGAAAAGCAAACTAGGTGTTATAATCTTCCTTAAACAAGTTTTAAACAAAGCATAAAACCTCTGAAGATTAAGAAGTGCTTAAATTGCTTATGAGAGCAAATGCAAAATCTCAGTTCACAATAGAAGCTGATCTTTTCATTCCATTTGATAAAACCGTATCTCAAGGATTTTAAAGTAAATATGTCAGATGCTCTAATTTTCCTTCAAGAACTCCTAAAATTGAAAAAAAAAATAGTTTTTTAAATGATTCCTCTATCTAAATAAAATAAAACTGCTCCCCACAAAATTGGCACCCTCACATACTAATGTTAGTGAGTTGCCTTTCTGTAAACCAAGTTTTCATTCTTATGAAAAGCTTTAAAAAGTGTTCTTACAATTTGACTCAGCTATTCTACATCTAAGAATTTTTCCTTAGGAAATCATTGAAAAAGCATGTAAAGACATATGGATGGGGGTGTTTGTTTCAAAATTGGAATACAAAAAAAAAAACAAAAAACCCAAATCTACCCAAAACATTTAGTAATATGGATCTGGGAAAATAATGTATAAAGACCTATTTGGCGATGTGCTGTGCCATCAGTAAAGAGAATAATAACAAAATATTTATTAATGTAAAACACGTTCATAATATAAATTTAGGTAAAAAGTAAATTAAAAGTAATATTCTAATATGGTCCTGTTTTGGTAAAATACATAGGTATATAAGAGAGAAAAAATGATTTGGGGGTAGGAGGAGGGGAATTAGTGAACAAGAGTAAGAAGGATTTAATCTATAAAAATACACTACATATGCACAGTATTAATCTTTGGGTAGTGACTAGACTTGTGAAATTTTGGGGTGTGTGTATGTGTGTGCACAAATGTTAAAAAGTATAAGGATAGATTCATTTAAGTATATTATTTGGCAATTATTTTCAAAGCTGACATACATATATATAGATATATTTCTGTGTTTCTATTGAATTTCACATCTCAACAAGTAGAACAATTGAAGATTTTTGAAGATTAGAGGAAATACATGTTACATTCCTTTTTTGCTTTCTTTAACTAAAAAGTTTATTCAGAAACATCGACACTATAAATATTCTGAAAAATTAAATGTGTCCATCAGAAATGACATGTGAAAGTGCTCCTGATAATGTACATCTGATTTTGCTCAAAATCTCTTAACGATAAGAATCAATATGAATGCAGATAATTTGTTATTTTAGCAGATGGAAACCAACAATTTCTCCAAAGTTTTGTATAGAACATCATGTTAATTTACAGCAAGACAAACTCATATCAGGAAAATAGCTTTAAAATAATTTTAAGTCACATATTCCTAGGAATTCCTAAGGTCCCTGTATGTACACATTGCTTTCAATCCCATGCCCCATAGAGATACACTACCCTTCAGAAAGATACTCAAATTCTGAAGAACTGTAATTGTTTTGGTCATCAAATGCAATCTCCATACACAATTTCTTACCAATCCAGAAAATCTGCTAATACGAAGAGAATTTTCAGAAACAAGAAGTCATGTATAGAAACAGCTATACTTCACTCTTACTTACCCAGAACAGTCCATTAACCAGGACACTACAGTGGTTAAACACTTTGATTACTCAAGACTTTTTCTAAATAACCTGACAGATAAACATCAAAATAATTGACTCTGACACTTACCTTATTGCATATGTAGAGGCTGTGATCATGAGGAATAGCACCACTACCATGCAGACCCCTGTCAGGCCAGGAACTATAAAAATGTACACAAGTACGTTTTTACTTAAATAATAGTGAGAAAAAAGTATAAAAAATGATTACATTAGAATCCAAAATACTATGCTGTTCTGTGGGAAGCCTAATTCAAATCCCATATCTACATGTATGTTCTCCCTCAAACAAGCCTTTTACTTTTTAATTTTTTTAATTAATTTTTAATTGACAGATAATAAATATACATATTCATGCAGTACATGGTGATGTTTCCACACATATAAAGTAAAAGTGATCAGATCAGAGTAATTAGAATATACATCCATAATCTCAAACATTTATTATTACTTTGTGTTGGGAACATTCAATACCCTTCTTCTAGCTATTTGAAAGTATATAATACATTATTGTTTACATTAGTCATTCTACAGTGGTATAGAACAGAACACCAGAACTTATTAAAATCAGCACAGTTTCAAAGTCTTTCAGGCAAATCAGGGTCTTTTATCTAAAAAAAAAAGATTCTTTTTTTTATTTCCCAAATATTCTACTCAGAATGGCAAATATGTACTTACTTCTGGAGGTATATACTAAATATCAGTAATTAATGCAATAGGACAAGGTTAACATTCAGACTACAAAGAAAAGCTATTGGGACAATTCCATCTGGAAAAGTGACATTCCTCTGCTTATTTTCTTGTCAAGAAACCTACTATGAAATAGAAGGGCTGTCATGGACTATTAGCCACCAGCAGAAGCAGACACCTTGGGTACAATGCAAGAGCAACACAGGTGTGTGTAATTAGGATTCCAGAGTTAGAATCACTGGAAAATAACAACATTCGAAATCTCAGTACAATAGAAACAAATTTCACTTATAAAGCACTACATGAAAAATAAGAAAATTAGTCTACAGGTTCTTAGTACTTGAGTACTCGCACCTCCTCACTTTCCCAGTAGACAGTTTTAGAAGCCTAATAAAAGGTGCCCTTCCCTAATGTACCTAATCCAAATCATTTCTTCTCTGCACTTCCTTCCCGGAGTACTTCCTTTCCCATTGATTTTTCCATTTCCTACTGTGAGTGCTTACTTCCCAGTTGTAAGAGATGAGCAAGATAACTAGTCTAGTTCACTCTAAAGAGCTAGTGGCATGAAAAATACACTATTTTGGTAAAATAGCATGCCTGCAAATTAACCTAGCCATTGTACTTCCAAATGTTTACCCAAAAGAAACAAACATATATCCATGCAAAGACTTGTTTAAGAATGTTCATAGCTATTTATTTTTAACAGTCAAAGTCTAAAAACAACTCTGATCTTCATCAACAGATTAATGGATAAACAATTGTGGTACTTATCTGTACCTGGGAAATTAATCAGCAATAAAAAAAACATAAACTGTTGATAGATAAGCAACAATATACGTGAACCACAAAATTGTTAGACTGAATAAAAGAAGTTAAATCACCCAAGCCCTGAAAAAGTACAAACTCTATGATTCTTGGAATATAACATTTCAGAAAATTTATACTATTCTTCAGTGACAGAAAGCAGATCAGTTATTAGGAGGGGTAGAGGGCAAGATGCATTATAAAAGAGAACAAAAATTTTCTGTGATAATAAAAATATTTATCATCTAACTTTTGATGATGGTTCCACTATTGTGTATGTGTGTGTATATGTATATATCAAAACCAATCAAATTGTATACATGTGTATAATTAGTGTACTTCAATTATAATTTCATAAATTTGAGAGAAAAAAGAAGAGGTTGAGCTCACTGTTTTCAAGTATTAAAAAAGAAAATCTTTATTTGACCAAATGAATAACTAAATGATAGAATCCCAGATGGCTACAGAGTGTGAAATTATAGTTAGAGGGGCTTTTCCAATATTTTATTGGGCCTTTATTAGTGTTCTTCTATGTCTGCATACAGTTTCCTATATAGTTCTGAACATGCCAAGATTAGTCATGGAATGTCTGCAAATTACTTCATTGAAAGAACACCTGGAAAAATGGAGTATGTTTAGAATAGAGCCACAATTTCCAAAGTGTGTTATTTGAAAATTAATTGCTTGAAATATTAATTTCTATTACCAAAAAATACTATAACCATCCCTTAAAAAGTCACAGGGTACATTAATGTATAAAAGTCCCTGAGAAGTATTACATTTAAAAAACCTGATTAAACTTAAATATTTTCTTAAACTTATTAGACGAGAATATTCCTTTTAAGTCAGAACATGAAAACATATTGGAAAGACTTAGAGGAGGTCAAATAGTTTACTTCAGTCATTTGAGGATAAAGTAGAAGGCCCAGAAGACCCAGCCAATGATGTATATGGTCTGAGATTACACTCTTGTTACTGTCCCTCAGACAAAACTCCAATCTTACCGAATCTCATCTGCAAACTAAGGAGAATAAATCTGATGATTTTCTATGTTCCTTCAGATTTATAAAGTTATCTCTTTTATCTAAAGAATTTGTTTTTCCTTCTTATTTCCCAAAAGTAAAAAAGACCAAAGTGCATAATTTATAAAGTAATAGATTTCAGATCAGTGAAGAAGAACTTACAATTAGCAAGGGCAAAAAAAGTATACTATAACCAGAGTTGTCAAAAAGTCAGGGGTAACTACCTTAAGAAGCCCACTGAAAGCAAACAAGCAGAGGCTGGCTAACCTATTATCTGGGATGTTGCAAGAAGATCTATGCATCAAATAAAAGAGTTAAACAAATGACTTATATTCATTCAGTGAACGGTTTGTAGGCATATACAATGTACTGTTAAATGCTAGAGATAAAATAAATTCTGCTCTACAAAAAATCCCAGTCCACTGGTGGAGACAGACAAGTTAAGCAGGCAATTACAACACAGGGCATTGAGTGCTGTAAAGAGAGCTAAGCACTGAGTGCTCTCAGGGCACAATAAGGGGCACCCGAAGCTAGGGTTGATTGACAGCTCAGCTAAGTCCCAATACATTAGCCTTATTACAACACATTCCAAGAGTCTGAAAACACTGGCTGGAAATCATTGGGCTAGTCTAATCTCACTGGGCAAAGTTAGGAAGTCAAACCTATACATGTTTCCTTAGCAAAATACATGTGTATTCTTATTGCTTTATATTTATGCATATTAAATTTACTAGTCATTTTTAAAATGAATAATTGCATGACATTGTAATTTCTAGATGAACCTGAGTGATTATTTTCATCCATACCCAGGTGTGGTCAGAAATATACCATTATCTATTCATTATCCTATTTTCCTAACATAGTTGGAAACATAATTATATTTGTTTATGAGGGTTTTTAAAATTAAAATTAGACATTATCCGTTTTATTCTCACCATGAAAGGTACTACCAAATTTGGAGATATGTACCACGCATTTTTAAATGAATGTTTAAATAATTCAATCCATTAATCTTACCTTAGAAATCCTTAATTGGAATGTTTTTAACATTTCTTATGTAGTAAGTTTAGCCACTATATTTTACGCCGCTTGTATAGCCAAAGACTTTATTTTCTACAAGACAATCTTAATTTGTCAGTACTAGATTCCAATGAAAAAAATTTCAACACACAGAGATAGAAGACTCTACATAACATTAAAAAAACTAAACTCCATGAAATCTATTAACTAATAAAAATATTCTTTATCAGCTGGGCGCAGTGGCTTACGCCTGTAATCTGAGCACTTTGGGAGGCTGAGGCAAGCAGATCACAAGGTCAGGAGTTCAAGACCAGCCTGGCCAACATAGTGAAACCCCACCTATACTGAAAAAAAAAAAAAAAAAAAAAGACAAAAACATAGCCGGGTGTGGTGATGGGCACTTGTAATCCCAGTTACTTTGGGGTCTGAGGCAGGAGAATCGCTTGAACCCAGGAGACAGAAGTTGCAGTGAGCTGAGATCATGCCATTGCACTCCAGCCCAGGCGACAGTGTGAGACTCTGTCTCTTTCTATATATATATATTCTTTATCACTAGAACACCTAAAAACATATATGCTTTCTTTCATCAGGAACTTAATGTTTCCTAGGTGCTGTGCCTGAGAACATTCAGAGATGGCTGTGGAATAGTTTCAGTCAGTATTAGTGATACAAAGCTGGATTAAGTTCTTGATAGAAAAGGGTGTCTTTCATCCCATTACCATCCTTAGACTCTACTTTGCACTCTCACCTGCTATTCTTCAGTGGGGACAAACGAATGCCTTAGGAGCTCCAGACTTACGCTTAGGGATCCCTATGTCTGAGCCCAGTTCTACGCTGATGACCTGGGAAGTGGATGCCTCCTGCTGGCTAGCGTGGTATTTCTTTCTTGAAATTATGTGAGAGTGGGCCACCAAAATGGTATTAATTTGCTGAATTGGGTGAGTCAAATTGTTTATATTGCCAGAGGCCATAAAAAAAATGTTTACCTAGGACCCTGCATACTCTAGAAGCAGCCCTTCCCAACCCAAGAGAAGCTCACCTAAAAGTGGAAAAGACAATATATGTAAGGAAATAAACTATTCTACAACACAGTATTTTTACAGTCATCCTTCAGTATCCATGCGACTGGTTCCAGGACCCCTCACAGATACCAAAGTTTGAGAATGCTCAAGTATTTATACATAACCTGTGCACACCCTGTCACATACTTTAAATTATCTCTCGGTTACTTAAACAATAAATACTTAATACGAAAGGCAGGCAGTAGCGAGATAGTATGCTCAAGAGTATGATGAGATGTTCAGCAGTGACAGGACAGCAGCTCCCAAGGTACCTGAGAAGATTAGTAACATACTTTGCCAAGTCTCTCCCAGAGACACACTAAGGTAGACCTGGGAAATTTGTATTAAGTGTCTTCTCTACTAAGTCCAACACCATTCATGGGGACCTCTGGGAAAGGACATAGGACGATGGGGTTGCATGCTAGGTATTGAGATTACCTGCTTATAAGAAGTATTAATTATACTAAGTGCCTTAATGTGATATGTTAGTCACATAACAAATTGTTTTGTATCTTTGTAAACTAAACTTTTCAAAGCATTTTAAAAGTTCCAAAGCTTCAATTTAACTTTATGTTTCAGAAAATAATATTAAACAAAGTTTTTCTTTCTCTCTCTTAAACAAATTAACAGTAAACCAAAAAATACATTGATTCATACATAAGGTTTTGTTTTTCTGTACTTGTGTTCTCATCCAATTCTTCAGGCCTAAATGAAAACATGTTTTCAATGAGCAAAGTTGTAAGCAAAACTAAATTGTGTTTCTAAAGAGAAAACTGTGAAATACGTTGTGAGTGGCAAGTATTATAAATTTATAGACAAAAGCAAACTGTATCTTATAAATCCAAACATATAGCTGTGACATGGATGGGGAAAGCACTAGAATTATTGCGATTTTTCATCATAAAATTGATTCAAAAGAAAAACAATGCATTTCCCAGGGTAATGTGCCTCAGTCCCATGTGCAATTCCAATACTTAATTGGGTATTACAGCCAACAATTTATGATAGATCATCTCAACTCTGCAATCATCTCTCTGCAATCTGAAATATGTGCTAAAAATTCCCCAAATGCATCTTTCTTCTTTCATCTTTATAAATGTAAGGTTGGGAAAAAGAAGAATTTTAGTAAAAATTGTTTAACATCGGGGAAATTTTGAGATGTTCAAACGTGCATTAACAAATTAGTCTAGACTGAGATTTCATGGACAATAAGCTTGAAAGGGAAAAATAAATTACAAATGAAATAGGAGACATATTTCAAAGAAATAACTTATTTTAATGACTGTTTCTCCTCTTTGTTGTAGATTTTAAGATTATAAAAAGTTGCACTAAATGACTGAATTATAAGAACTCCATGGATACCCACAGTGCTTGTTTTTCCTTTCCAATACATTGAGGGCAGGAGCCTGTTAAACGTGCACTATCTCCTACAGCACTTGCCACAGCAGCAGGCACAAAGCAGGCCCTCAATAAGCATGCGATTCTTTTGTTTTGATAGGAAGACTATATGACAGTGAAATGTATTTGCTTATTTTTAATCTCCATTTATTCACACCCCAATATTTGCATTGTCTCTCTGTTCTCATTGCAACCTTATCCTTTAGCTCCAAATACTTATTCTTATATGCAAATTGTCCATGTGTTATATTTGTAACATATATCTAATTGTCGTGTAATTTGATAATGCTTACTTTTTTTTTTTTTTTTTTTTTGAGATGGAGTCTCGTTCTGTCATGCCCAGGCTGGAGTGCAGTGGCGCGATCTCAGCTAACTGCAATTTCTGCCTCCTGGGTTCAAGTGATTCTCCTGCCTCAGCCTCCTAAGTAGCTGGGATTACAGGCACCTGCCACCCACCACACCCAGCTAATTTTTTGTATTTTTAGTAGAGATGGGGTTTCATCATGTTGATCAGGCTGATTTAGAGCTCCTGACCTCAGGTGATCTGCCCGCCTTGGCCTCCCAAAGTGCCGGGATTACAGGCATGAGCCAACGTGCCCAGCCCGATAATGTCTACTTTTAAAGATGTTCCTGAATCTAAAGAAAAGGCTAAGAATAACAACTTACCAGTCATGAAGAGAAGTTTTCTAGGATCCTGAGAAAAAGAAAAAAAAAAAAATAAGTGATTAAAAACTAAAGCACTGATGACATATAATTCTATAAAGAGTATGCAGTACCTACAAGCCATATATTTGTCATGTAAAATACTGTTTATCCAATGGAAGTGAGAAAGACTCGATTAAGTTTCATAACATTTTCACAATGCTAGAGGAGATTACAACAAGCAAAAACCCAATTCACAGAAATCTATCCATCTGAGGCAAAATACTGGATGACTCAAAAGGCCTAAAAATTATTATTAATGGTTACCTACAAGCTAGTGGCACTGGTTTTAAGCCTCCCTGTAACCATTTTGAGCTCAATGTCTTAGCCATGATGTTAAGGTATTATTATATACTCTGTTCACCAAAACTGTGAAACTGCATCACAAGATGTGAAGACAGAATTAAAACCAATAAAATATGTAGGGGATTTGCACATTGTAAGCTCAATACAAAGAAGACTAATTGGGAGCTTTCTATGTTTCAAAAATAGTGAAAAGTGGTGAGGATAAACAAAGATCAGTTTCTGCTACTTGGAAATACGGAACATTAATATTGTTATAATATTGTATGATTTCCTTTAAACTACATCTCTTATGCTCTAATGGGTTATAGTCAACACCCTTCTACCTTCTGGAAAACCAATCCCTACTAGATTTGTGAATTTATTTTTTATCCCCATGGTGCTTAATATTTCACAAGCTTTTGAATTCCTTTCTTTGTGCCTCCATTGAATCAGGGGTCAGGCCAGACTATGTACTAAGAAGGAAGCAATTTATATAGTGTCATTTGGGGGTCTTTGAATAAGGACCACTTGCCTAGGAATAGCTCCTCACCTGGCTTAATTCAATTGACTTCTATTCCAACTATTAGAAACATGGCTATAGGGTGATCTAAGAAAACTGAATGTATAAACAACCCATAAAAATATAATATGGGCTGAACAAAGTCATAAGAATAGAAATGTGAATAAATACCTATGGAAACCCAGAAGATGGAACAATTAATATTGCTAGAGAAAGAAATGGAAACATGAGAGTGAGAGATGTTTTCACAGTGGCAAGGTGAGGCAGATTTAGCTGGGCTATCAAGAAAGGGCAGCAGTCACAAGCTGGAGGGTGAGTCCTTCCATGCAGAGTAAAAGCATAAAACAAGAACAATAGGGCATATGACACAAAACCATCTCTTTCAAAAGCAGTTCACAAAATAACATATGTGTTGATTTTATATATATATATATAAAATATAATCGATTATCAATACAGCAATATATAATATATAATATATATAATAGATATGCCATATATATTTATGTATATATTTAAATATATGTGTGTATATATATACACTTATTTCCATCTACATCTAATGCATTGCCTTGTACCTATTAGATGCTAAACACATATTTATTAAAAAGAGGGGAAAAAACAAAAAGAGAGACATGAAAGAAGGAATACAAGAAGAAATAAAGGCAGGGGAAATACTAACTTAAAACAATGAGTTGCAATTTTCATCCATCAGATTGGAAAAAAACAACAGAGATGAGTTGTAGAAATAGGCATTCTAATATTAGAAGTGTGAAAAAAGGAGAAGACTTTTTAAAACGGAATTTGGCACTGTCCATCAAAACTAAAAATGTGCAACCTTTTAAACCAAAATTCTACAACTACAGATCTGTGTAGAAGTGGACAAAGAAATACATTTATTGGAGTGTGGTTCATAACAAAAACTGAGAATCAACCTAAATGTCTGAATAAGAAAAAGACTAAAAATAAATTATGGCATAGTCATATGGAGAGAATGAGATAGATCAAGATATTTTGATACAATAAGCTATGAAAGTATATTTATGGAGACAAGTAAATTGCCAAGGAATATATACCATAAAATGCCACTGAAAATATCAGAAAAAAATGTAATACACTGTGGCTTGTTTTGGAGGAGAAGCTTTCACTTTTAACTTCGTTTACTTGAGAGTTTTAAAATATTTTATATTGAGCATATATAACTTTTCAAAGAAAACAAATTTAATAACCGAAAACCTTGAAATCACTAAAAATATTGGAACTTAAGCAAAAGTTTATTCCATTAAAATGAGAAAACCATTAAAGTTATTAAAGACATGAATTCTGAAAAGAGAAGAAAAGAAGAAAAAGAAACAAAGAAAATGTTGTAACAGAGGCAGAAAACAAGTAGCTAGTGATTTGAGCAGAGGGCAGCAGGAGAAAGGGAAGCAGGTGGGAGTGAGATCGGGAGAAGTGGAGGCTGGGTCTGAAATAATTACATGTGAAGAGCCATCACTGGCCTGCTAAGGAGCTGGAATTTTTCAGTGGTTCTCAGTGCTGGATGCACTCTACAAGCCTGGGAAACTTTTACAAATTATCAGTGCCTGCCTCCCAACCAAGACCAATTAGATCATGTTGGTATTTTTTTTTAAATACGAGTAGAGACAAGGGCTATATCAAAGGTTGCTGGCTATTTTGGTTTTGTGATTTGTTTCTGTATTTGTTGTTACTTTTTCATTAGTTTTGTTTTGAGGGGGAAGTCAAGCACATGATCACAACAGTATTAAACCTAGAAAACTCTGGTGATATGTGGAGGAGACAAAGGAGTGGGGAAGATGGGAAAAAATTTTATTAAGTCACTACCAAACTTAGTCTGCAGAACAGGAAAATTAGGGTGGGGGGATGCTAATTAAATGACACAGAACAGTTTGTTTTTGATGTAGTCTTGGCATTGTGAAGCAAAGGCAGCCTGAGGACTGTATGAGAGCATCAACCAACAGAGACCTAACTGGCTGAGCATGTGCTGTTCATCAAGCTCTGGCCTGCACCTTGCACATATAATTTCATTTTATGGACGGCTTCCCATGGAGAATAGCACTATGTCAGATATTGCCTGCTACAGAATTGAATTTAACATCACCTAATTCGAGGAATGTTTTTAAATGAATGAATCATGAAAACTCACTAACATTTTTTTAAGTAAAATAAATTGATTTATCCAGGATTCACAAATAATCAATCTACTTTTATTTCCTTTTCCCCAAAACCTAGTATGTGAGTTATAAAGTATTTTTACCCTGTAACGGCACTGTCGACACTCTCAGCTGAATGATAGGAATTAGACAAAAGCTGCTGGGAGTCAGAGGCAGACCTGAGTGGCAACCATTTGAACATTGCAGAATAAAAAAGTAGACATTCTACCACCTCCCACTTTCAGCAGGAGAGACTATGAAATAGTAATTACTTATATTTTCTATTGAAAAGGAATAAAGCTCAATTTGACAAGTGCATTTTAAAAGCACTCAAAAGGAGCAGTAAGGTACAAATATTCAGGGAAAAATCACAGACCCTCATTAGTCATCTCATGACAAGTGAAAGGAAAATGGGAAGACAGAGACCACCCACCTCATTTCGGTATCTTGCTGCGTTCAGTTCAACAAAATCTTCACTGTAATTCACTGAGAAGTTGAGGGCATTCACCAGATGGGCAGCCACATGCACGCCTACAGAATCACACCAGGGGCAAGTTAGTGGGATTTTCATATATGCTCCATGTCAAGGACTCAGTTCTTCCTCCCCCTCAGTAAATACAGGGTCAAACTTTGACAGCTATATGGGCAATGAAATATTACATGGAAAGGTGAAGTTTTAAAGACACAAAAAACTTAACTATAGATAGTTTACCAAATGTTCAAAGGCTGTAATGAAACAACCCTAGTAAGTCAGGGATAAGAGAAACACACACAAACACATCCTCCCCCTAACACACACACACACACACATCCTCCCCCTAACACACACACACACCCATCCCCCCCGTAACACACACACACACTCATCCTCCCCTTAACACACACACACACACACACACACACACTCTCTCTCTCTTACATAAATATGCATCTAATGACATGGGTATTTATTTATTTACTTGAGCACCTCCCTGATATTTTAGGTATTCCACATCTTTCACCTCTTTCATAGTTCCAAATCTGCTATTAATATGTATCTTGCATACTTCCCTACCCCATAAGGTAAATTATAGGCCACTGAAAGACTTTCAACTACTGGAAATTTTTCACAATCCACAGATTTAAATCATAGTATTCTTAACCCAACAGAAAAAGTGTTGGGAATCACTTCATGGGACAAAATTCAGGAAAACAATAATCACAGTAAACAAAGTGCTCAACTGACTCAGAGCTCACAGAAATAATAGCAGTGTTAGGAAATTAATAGAGATGTGAAAATGAACTCATTTTGGCAAAGCTAGGGTAACAAAAATTATCTTGAGGAGGCTAGGTAAGGAAGGAAAAGTGAGATGTACACGGGCCCATCACGCCTTCCCCCTTGCTCAAGCTTTGCTTGTAGGCAAAATTAGGTGTGAATTAACACCATATTTTAATGTATTGAAAACCACAACAGGTAACTCGCTGGAAAATTTGTGATCTTGGCCATATTATTTGCCTTTCAGGGGCTTTAATTTACTTCTCTGTAAAATTATGGTGACAGAAGTGAAAGGCTTAATGAGATAAGTGATCTGATATTGCTTAGTAAACCATTACAGTTCACAATATGTGTAGTACAATGGTTCAAAAGAAGACATAGCCTGGAATCTAGGAAACTCCATAATTTCCTACAACCCATAATATGAGATATAGAGGGCTTAGAGTTCTAAGTTACTCACAAAAAAAATGAAAGTGAGAGAGGACTAGAATGCTAAAACGCCTAAAAGTTTATTTAAAGGATTTATAAGGTCCTTCAAGTAATCAAGTTAGAGGTAGGTGAAGAGTCCAGACTTATTACAAAGTTATAGTAATTAAGAATGTATAGTATTAGCAAAAGAAAAGAAAAATAGATTAATGGAACAGAATAGAGAGCCCAGAAATCCACCCACATTAATACAGTCCATTTATCTTTGGCAAAAAAAAAAAAAGCAATACAAAGAAGAAAATGCCTTTGTCACAAATGGAGCCGAAACAAGGAAGAGTTCACATTCAAATAAATAAATCTAGACATAGACTTTACACTCTTCACAAAAATTTACTCAGAATGAATCGCAGACCCAAATGTAAAATGCAAAACTATAAAACTCCTCAAAGGAAACACAGGAAAAATGTCTATATGACTTTGGGTTTGGTGATGGCTTTTTAGACACAATGTCAGAGACATGATAAATGAAAGAATTAATAAGCTGGACTTCCTTAAAATTAGAATTTCAACTCTGCAAAAGACGTTGTGAACACCGTGAGAAGATAAGCCACAGACTGGGAAAAAGCATTTGCAAAAGACATATCGATAAAGGATTATTATAAAAATATATAAAGAACACTTAAAATTCAACAACAAGAAAACAAACAACCCAATTTAAAAAATGGGCCAAAGATCTTAATAGATACCTCACCAAAGAAAATATACAGATGGCAAACAAGCATATGAAAAGATGATCCACATTATATATCATCAGAGAAATGCAAATTAAAATGATGAGTTACCACTACATACCTATTAGAATGACCAAAATCCAGAATACTGACAACACCAAATATTGGTGAGATTGCACAGCAACAGAAATTCTTATTCACTGTAGGTGTGGGATGCAAAAAATGGCACAACAACATTGGAAGTGAGTTTGGTGGTTTCTTAAAAACTACACATATTCTTATCCCATGATCTCGCAATCACACTCTTGGTTATTTACCCAAAGGAACTAAAAATGTATGTCCACACAGAAACATGCACATTAAAGTTTACAGTAGCTTTATTCATTATTGCCAAAATCTGGAAGCAACCAAGATGTCCTTCAATAGGTGAATAGATTAAAAAACTGTGGTACATCCAGACAAGGGAATATTATTTACCACTATAAAAAGATGAACTATCAAGCCATGAAAAGACACAAAGGAAACTTAAATTCATATTACTAAGTGAAAGAAGCCCATCTGAAAATGCTACACATTGCATGAGTCCAACTCTATTACATTCTAGAAAAGGCAGAATTACAGAGACAGTAAAAAAGAAAATCAGTGGTTGTCTGGGGTTAGTGGGAAAGGAAGGTCACAAATAGGCAGAGCACAGAGGATTTTTAGGGCAATGAACTATTCTGCATGATACAATAATGGTGCATACAGGTCATTACACATTTGTAAAAACCCATAGAATGTATAGCATCAAATGTGAACCCTGATGTAAAGTATGAACTTTAGGATATAATGATATGTCAATTAATGTAAGTTTATCAATTGTAAAAATTTGTACAACTCTGGCACGGGATGTTGATAATGGGGGAGGCTATACATGCATGAAGACAAATGATATATGAAAACTCTCTATATATTCCTCTCATTTTTGCTGTGAACCTAAATCTGCCCTACAGAAAAATAGTCTTTAAAAAAATTTTAAGAGAAAAACAAATGGACAGGAAGCTAAAATGAGTTAAGTAACAAGCAAGGACAAGTTTCCAAAGAAGTAAAACAAAGGATGTCTAGGTGTGACACAACAATGGCACAGGTATAAAATATTATTTAAGCAAAACTCTCCCTGTCATATAGCTTCATCAATACCCAAATGTATAGTAAAATAATCCTTTGATATTAAATTAAAAGTTTATATATTAACTACATACTCTATGGCTACAAAATGCAAAGTCATCTATAGAAGAATTACTATCCTTTCTGAATTTCTCTGAAAAAAAAAAAAGTCATAGGTAACAGCTATAGAAAATACATCATTAAGGGATATATTCACTTTTTTAAAGGACCTCTTAGGTGAAAAGAATTTGGGGCTTCTAATTTTAGGCACAAGGAAGCAGCTAGCCCAAGCACTTTGCATAGATTTTCTCATTTGATTCTCAAAACGAAACAATGTGATAGGTAGAGTCATCCCTATTTTACAGATAAGAAATCTGAAGTAAAGAAGGGTAATATAGCGAAAGTCAGACCACTAGTGACTGACAGAATGCAAATCCTCTGTAATACAAGCTCATGCTATCTCAGTCGCTTGGTTGCTCTCCAGTAGAACCAGAATACTTGGACATGATTACAGTTTAGAACAAATTGAGTCATGAATACACTGGTTTCCTGATCCTCCTCCATTTCTGACCTTTCACTCTCCCTCTCCCTAAATTTCTAACCCTTACTACACCCTTGGTCCTTATCTCACCCTCACTAAAGTACTAATCCTATCCCTCAACCTCTCTCCTTCTATCACCTGCAGAAGTGGAACTATCAATTGGAAGAAATTCAGAGATAAAACAATGAAATTACCTGTTTCAACAATGCTTGGCAATTTTTTACAAAGCTAAAAGTATAATAATTGCTTGGCAAGAGCTGTATCAAAACATTACTGAGTCAAAATGGCCCTACTATCAAAACAGCTATGTCATCAAATAATGGTCAGGTGAAAATACCAGGTGCTATGCCTCTGAAATAATTAACCCTTGCAATTATATATTACAATTACTAATTCTATCCTAAGAATTTCTATTCATTTTCTCATTTTAGTCTTAAATCTGTGAGGTAAGTCCTGCTGTCAATCAAAACGGCAGGGGTTGCAATCCTAGTCTCTGATAAAACAGACTTTAAACCAACAAAGATCAAAAGAGACAAAGAAGGCCATTACATAGTGGTAAAGGGATCAATTCAACAAGAAGAGCTAACTATCCTAAATATATATGCACCCAATACAGGAGCACCAAGATTCATAAAGCAAGTCCTTAGAGACTTACAAAGAGACTTAGACTCCCATACAATAATAGTGGGAGACTTTAATACCCCACTGTCAACATGAGACAGATCAACGAGACAGAAGGTTAACAGGAATTGAACTCAACTCTGCACCAAGCGGACCTAATAGACATCTACAGAACTCTCTACCCCAAATCAACAGAATATACATTCTTCTCAGCACCACATCACACTTATTCCAAAACTTACCACATAGTTGGAAGTAAAGCACTCCTTAGCAAATGTAAAAGAACAGAAATTATAATAAACTGTCTCTCAGATCACAGTGCAATCAAACTAGAACTCAGGACTAAGAAATTCAGTCAAAACCGCTCAACTACATGGAAACTGAATAACCTGCTCCTGAGTGACTACTGGGTACGTAACGAAATGAAGGCAGAAATAAAGATGTTCTTTGAAACCAATGAGAACAAAGACACAACATACCAGAATCTCTGGGACACATTTAAAGTAGTTTGTGGAGAGAAATTTATAGCACTAAATGGATACAAGAGAAAGTAGGAAAGATCTAAAATTGACACCCTAACATCACAATTAAAAGAACTAGAGAAGCAAGAGCAAACACATTCAAAAGCTAGCAGAAGGCAAGAAATAACTAAGATCATAGCAGAACTGAAGGAGATGGAGACACAAAAAACCCTTCAAAAAAATCAGTGAATGCAGGAGCTGGTTTTTTTAAAGATCAACAAAATTGATAGACCGCTAGAAAGACTAATAAAGAAGAAAAGAAGATTCAAATAGATGCAATAAAAATGATAAAGGGGATATCACCACCTATCCCACAGAAATAAAAACTACCATCAGAGAATAATATAAACACCTCTATGCAAACAAACTAGAAAATCTAGAAGAAATAGATGAATTCCTGGACAAATACGCTCTCCCAAGACTAAACCAGGAAGAAGTTGAATTCCTAAATAGATCAATAAGAGGCTCTGAAATTCAGTCAAAAATTAATAGCCTACCAATCAAAAAAAGTCCAGGACCGGACGGATTCACAGCTGAACTCTACCAGAGGTACGAGGAGGAGCACGTACCATTCCTTCCGAAACTATTCCAATCAACAGAAAAAGAGGGAATCCTCCCTAACTCATTTTATGAGGCCAACATCATCCTGATACTATATCTGGCAGAGACACAACAAAAAAGAGAATTTAGGCCAATATCCCTGATGAACATCAATACAAAAATCCTCAATAAAATTCTGTCTAACCGATTCCAGCAGCACATCAAAAAGCTTATCCACCATGATCAAGTGGACTTCATCCCTGGGATGCAAGGCTGGTTCAACATACTCAAATCAATAAATGTAATCCAGCATATAAACAGAACCAAAGACAAAAACCACATGATTATCTCAACAGACGCAAAAAAGGCCTTTGACAAAATTCGACAGCCCTTCATGCTAAAAACTCTCAATAAATTCGGTATTGATGGAACGTATCTCAAAATAATAAGAGCTATTTATGACAAACCCACAGCCAATATCATACTGAATGGGCAAAAACTGGAAGCAGTCCCCTTAAAAACTGGCACAAGATGGATGCCCTCTCTCACCATTCCTATTCAACGTAGTGTTGGAAGTTCTGGCCAGGGCAATCAGGCAAGAGAAAGAAATAAAGCGTATTCAGTTAGGAAAGGAAGAAGTCAAATTGTCCCTATTTGCAGATGACATGATTGTATATTTAGAAAACCCCATTGTCTCAGCCCAAAATCTCCTCAAGCTGATAAGCAACTTCAGCAAAGTCTCAGGATACAAAATCAATGTGCAAAAATCACACACATTCTTATACACCAATAACAGACAGAGAGTCAAATCATGAATGAACTCCCATTCACAATCGCTTCAAAGAGAATAAAATACCTAGGAATCCAACTTACAAGGGATGTGAAGGACCTCTTGAAGGAGAACTACAAACCACTGCTCAATGAAATAAAAGAATTCACAAACAAGTGGAATAAGATTCCATGCTTATGGGTAGGAGGAATCGATGTTGGGAAAATGGCCATACTGCCCAAGGTAATTTATAGATTCAATGCCATCCCCATTAAGCTACCAATGACTTTCTTCACAGAATTGGAAAAAAGAAAAAATACTTTAAAGTCATGTGAACCAAAAAAAGAGCGCCGCATTTGCAAGACTCCTAAGTCAAAAGACAAACACTGGAGGCATACATGACACCATGACTTCAACTATAACTACAGCCTACAGTAACAAAAACCCAGACATAGGACTGGGTACAAAACAGAGTATAGGAACCAATAAGGAACAGAACAGAGCCTCAGAAAATAATATACCACAATCTACAGCCCATTATCTTGACAAAACCTCAGATAAAACAAGGAAAGGGGAAAGGATCCCTATTTAATAAATGGTGGCTGGAAAACTGCCTAGGCCATATGTAGAAAGTTGAAACTGGATCCCTTCCTTACTCTTATACAAAATTAATTCAAGATGGATTAGAGACTTAAAATGTTAGACCTAAACCCATAAAAACCCTAGAAAGAAAACCTAGGGCAATACCGTTCAGGGACTAGACGTGGCAAGGATTCATGTCTAAAACAAGCAAAAACAATTGGCAAACAAAGCCAAATTGACAAAATGGGATCTAATTAAAACTAAAGAACTTCGCCCAGCAAAAAGAGACTACAGCACAGTGGAACAGGCAAACCTACAGAAATTGGGAGAAAAATTTTGGTTTGCCATTACTCATTCTGACAAAGGTATATCCAAGAAGTGTCAAGAAGCAATCCAAACTTACAAAAAAAAAACAAACAACCCCATCAGGAAAGTGGGCAAAGTGGGGATATGACAGACAACTTCTCAAATAGAGACATTTATGCAGGCCAACGATACATGAAAACAATGCTCATCATCACTCGCCATCAGAGGAAGCAAAATCAAAACCACAATGAGATACCATCTCCACACAGTAGAATGACCAATCATTTAAAAGTCAGGAACAACAGGTGCTGGGAGAGGATGTGGAGAAATAGGAGACACTGTTACCACTTGCTTAGTGGACTGTAAACTAGTTCAACCATTGTGGAAGACGTGTGCAGATTGTCCTCAAGATCTAGGAACCAGAAATACGCATGTGACCTCAGCCACCCATACTGGGATAGTACCAAAAGCGCATTATAATTCATGTGCTATAAAGACCAACATGCACAATGTATGATTCTGTAGCACTATTTCACAATTAGCAAAGACTTGGACCAAACCCAGAATGTCCATCCAATGACGAGCTGATTAAGGAAAAATGTGGCAGCATATGATACCATGGATATACTTATACAGCGCATAAAAAAGGATGGAGTTGTGTCCTTGCAGGGACATGGATGAGGCTGAAACCATCATTCCAGCCAAAACTATCGCAAAGAACGGCGAAACCAAACACTCAGGTGTCGTCACTCATTAGAGTGGGAATTGAACAATTGAGATCGGCTTGGACACAGGAAGGGGACATCACACACTGGGACCTTGTGGAGTGAGGGGGAAGGGGGGATAGCATTTAGAGATATTACCTAATGTAAATGACGAGTTAATGGGTGCAGCACACCAACATGGCACACGTATACATATGTAACAAACCTGCACATTGTGCACCTGTACCCTAGAACATAAAGTATAATAATAATAATAATAATAATAATAAAAAGTTGAGGATCAGAGAGGTAACATCACACATTAAAATAGAAGGGCAGCTGGGGATAGAACTTATGCATGGACTCCTCAGAGTCCATGTACTTCATCACTATGTTTCTTACTTTCTGTTCCAAAAATTTGAAAAGTATCATCTAAAAGCTCAGGATCAAAATGAATTTTAAAAGGATTTATAATAATACAAAGATCATTGCTTTATTTTTTAATTTAGAAAAGAGCAGGATAAAGCTTCGCAAATTTTGACATTTGTTTTTCTACCAAATATTAATACCAAAGAAACATCAATCACATATAATTTGGGATGGAATCCTAATCTACTAATGAGTATTTCACATTCTAATTTTCATTCATTTGGCCAGGCACGGTGGCTCCTGCCTGTAATCACAGTGCTTTGGGAGGCTGAGGCAGGCAAATTGCTTGAGCTCAGAAGTTTGAGACCAGCCTGGGCAACATGGTGAAAGCCCGCCTCTACAAAAAATACAAAAATTAGCCAGACGTGGTGGCACATGCCTGTAGTCCCAGCTACTCGGGAGGCTGAGTTGGGAGGATGGCTTGAGCCTGGGAAGTGGAGGTTGCAGTGAGCCAAGATTGTACCACTGCACTCCAGCCTGGGCAACAGTGTCAGACCCTGTTTCAAAATAAATAAATAAATAAAATAGAGGGTTCATGCATTTAAACTCATATCATATCATCACTTTCAGAAATGAAAACGTTTAGTCTGTTTCTTCCGGTATTTCTAAGTGAAATTACTTACTTTCAGGAAATAGTCATTATCAGTTTGGGGGCCAGCTTTTGGATATCGTAATGTAAAAATCATAACACACATGCATTTTCTGTAGTTCCCCATAGACAGCCGTTTTTAAAAACATGGAAAGAACTGCTAAGCTATTTAATAAGAAAATATTAAGTTGCTGACAGTAGATAATGTACAGAACAATAAAATCACACATTTTCCATGTATAATTTTACGTGTGGTTTAAAACACAAACCACGCTACGATCTTACACTGTTCAATATTAATGGCATTATATGTTAATATATCTGCAGGCAGTTACCCCAAATTGTCATCACTGGTTGTTCCGGAAGAATAAGATTAGGGAAAACTTTCTCTGATAATTCTGCATATGTCTGGAATGTTTACATTTTAAATGTGTAATTCTAACAAATTATTTAATAACTTTGGCTTTCTCACCTGAGAAAATACAGATAGTAACACCACAGGTAATATGGAATGTTCTGCTTTTATCCAACAATCTCCTGGTTCTCCTGCTTGGAACCTAAACAAAAATCATTTATTATGGTAAAAATAATGCAACAAACGTGATAAAAATTCTTCAGGATAGCATTGTTCATTGTGTCAAAATTTTTAAAATATGTCAGAAGCCTATTAATCAAAAATTGGTGAGATAAATTAGGATCTATCCAGTTAATGGAAAACCTAAACCATTAAAAACAAATGTGAGAAGGCTATATAATTGATATGGAAAGATGTTTAAGACACATTGTTAGGTAAAAAAAAGTTACAAAACATAAACTACACAGTGATCTTATATTGATCAACATTAACGGTATTATATGTTAGTGTATCTGCAGGCACTTTCCACAAATTGTCATTAGTGGCTGTTCTGGAAGAATAAAATGAGGGTAAACTTTCTCTGATCATTTTGCATATTTCTGGAATGTTTAAGTTTGGAAATCTGTATGATTTACTTTTGTAGTCAAAAAATAAGATTATTTTAAAATGAAGCAATCTCATCTATAGTTTGAAATGCCTGCTTGATCTTATAACAAATTAAAATGTCAAGCACCTTTGAATCACTGTTTCACACTCGGGGCAAATCTTTAAGAATTATTTAATACTGAGGGACTTAGGTGGGAACTTGTCATTCCCTGCCACTTATCTTCTCTTTCTCCAAGCCAAGCCAATAGCCAACCACAGGGATCAAAACTTAGCAGTTTAAATGGTAGGCAACCTAGAGAGAGTTATTTTCACAGATTACCGCATTAAAAGGAAAGAGTTTCCAAATATAATTACGTAGAAAGGGTTGAGAAGTTTTCCTAGAGTAAATCTGCATATATTAAATTCATAGAACATCAAAGTGGTCTCAAGTTAACAACTCCTTTTAAAATATCATTATCTATCCAGTGGTACCTTGCTTAGTGAATCTTACAGAAGAAGAATCAAGATGCATACACACACAGTCACACATATACACAAAAACAAACAAAGACAAAAAAGAATTTTTGTTGAGTTTTAGCAGAATGACTGTTTTCCTGTTTTCTTACATACTTCATTTTACAACACTACATATAACAAATGACATCTCTATTTAATCAAGACATGTTTCTCAAGCCTATTACCACTTCAGAATGACTATGTGTGTTAAGCAGAGATAAGTTGTTGCCAACACCAGCAATCATTTCGTGTATTGCTCAGAATCCAAAGGACTCTAGTTTGCTCACCTAGATTTAGCTAAGTGAAAATACAGAATCTCAGTGACACATGACATAATGGAAAGAACTCAAATTAGGATTGACCTTAGCTCTGCCATTCACTAGTCTCGAAGTTACTCAAAGCCTCTATGCCTGAGGTTTCTTGTGTGTGAAATGAAACTAACAATACCTGATTCCCGAATCCCTGTAAGTATTTGCCAGCGTGTATGTGAAATACTAAGCATAGTGCTGGAAATACCTGTTAATAATATTACTATTATCATCTGCCCTTATCTGGTGTTGCAGAATAATTCACAGATCAACTTGACAGGTCACATGGCTTTTACCATCATCTTAGAAGAAATCACTCCAGCCAAAAGTCAGACTATGAAAACTAAACAAACTAATATGCGACTGTTACACTTGATTTTTATGCTGGAATTTGTAACTAGGACTGTTTTTTCTTACCTTCTGTGATCCTCGGAGGAAAGCCAAGAGTATTCGGCACATGGGTAAAAGGATAAGGCTGCAGTTGAGGTTAAGAACAGATGCGGAGGCTCTGCTTAGACACAATCCTAGCTGAACAAATAAGGCAAGGTCAGCACACAGTTAAGTACAATAGTAAAGCCTTGACCTGGCTCTACAAGCTACAGGTCTTACCCTATTGCTCTTTTAAGAATCATGCCAAATACCAACTCCTTCAAGAGCCTTGAATAGTCTTCCCTTTTCCTCTCACTAAAACCCCCTATGAACAACTGTTTTCTTTCTGTTCTGCACTGCCTTAAGACTTAGTGCTCCTCGCATTAACGATAATGTTACAATCACCTGTAAACACTGTTCCCACAGAAACTCCATTTCTTGTTCTGCCCCTAACCCACTGTTCTGGCTGTTAAGAGTCTTAAGAGTTTCTGTATATACTGCACCTCCACATGCATGTGGTGTTGGACCCTTTGTTCACTGATAACGTCAGTTTTCAAGCAAGTTTTTCATGTGTGTTCTCTCTCTCTGGAACACTCTCAGTCTCCACACAACCCACCCATTTACACACCACAGCTTTTCTCCAAGCTCTGCTTATCACTAACTCTATTCATCTTTCTGGTCACATAGTAAGCACGACTCTTCTAGAGTTCTTTCCTGGCCGGAAACTAGGCAAGAACCCACTGGTATACATGCACTCATTGCTTTCTGTACTTCCCTGATTATGTCTCTAATCTTCTTTCTAATCTTTTTAAAAATTTTTATTTTGTTTTTAATTGACAAATAATAATCATATATGTATGGGTACAATATAATGTTTTAATACATGTATATATCATGAAATGATCAAATCAAGCTATTTTACATATACATCCCCCAAAACACTTATCATTTCTTTGTCATAAATTTATTTATTTATTTATTTTATTTTATTTTATTTTTTTGAGGCAGGGTCTCACTTTTACTTCCAGGCTGAGCGCAGTGGTGCCATATGGGCTCACTGTAGCCCTTTCCTCCTAGGTTCAAGTTATCCTCCTGCCTCAGTCTTATGAGTAGTTAGGACGACAGATGCATGCCATGTGGTGAGCATGTTTAAAATCCACTCTTAGTCGGGCATGGTGTAATGCACCCATAGTCCCAGTTACTCTGGAGACGGGGGCAGGAGGATTGCTTGAGCCCAGGAGCTTGAGGTTGCAGTGAGTCATGTTAATGCCACTGGAGTCCAGCCTGGGTGACGGGGCGAAACCGTGTCTCAAAAAATAAAAAAAATTAAAATTAAAATGCATTCTTAGCTATTTTGAAAAATACAATACACTATTATTAACTATAGTCACCATGTTGTGCAATCGATGACCAGGTCTATTTCTTCTAACCGAAACTTTGTACACTCTGTCCACTCCCATCCCCACCCTCTGGCAACCACCATTCTACTCTCTACTTCTATGATTTCAACTCTTTTAGATTCAAAATGTAAGTGAGATCATACAGTATTTGTCTTTCTCTGCGTGGCTTATTTCACTTAGCATAACATCCTCTAGATAATCCATGTTGCTAAAAATGACCAATCTTAAATAAGATGGTGCCTTGAAAAAACTGAGATTCATATATTTGACTATGTCTTGGGAGGAGGATATATCCATTATTTTAAGCACCATTTTCATTTGGTGATAGCTAACTTAAAGCATTATCTTCATATGTTCACACTGAAAGCATTATGTTCATACTACAACAAATGAAGAATATAATGGAATAAAAATGCAGAAATGTTAGCAAAAGCACACCTATTTCTTATTATTAGCCACACATAGTTTGGATCAATTTATGCTTATTAATACATTAAACCTCTTTCTGCAACCCTAGGAAGTAATTAACAATATTATCTTTCTTCTTAAAAGAAAAGGAATATTGAGTCATAATGAAGTTAAGAATTTACCCAACATAAGACAATCAGAAAGTTGTGGAGCCAGAATTCAAACCTAGATACTCTGACTCCAGCATTTATACTATTAACCCCTACTTTATCGTGTTGCTAAATTGCCTTTAAAAAGAAAATGTCCAGAAGGCACATATTAGGTAATAAACATTTTGTTGAATGACTTGATGAATGAACAAACATTTGAGGTAAGTGGTTTTAGACAACCATCCTAGATAAGACTTCCCTCCTAGTAACACTCTCCAGCCCCAATAAGGTTATTGTTCTTGTTCTTTGATCATTAAAGGAAACTGAGGTATAAATATTTGAGAAGTACTAGACAAGGTCACAGCCTCATATACATTAAGGATTGCCTACACAGTATTATTAAGATGAGATTCCCAGCATAATTATTCTGTTACTTCCATTTAGTGTCTGACATGTTACCTTGAATTTTTTATGTTTTAACCTTTTTCTGTAAGTAAATGTTAAACCCCTCAAGACTAGGGTAAGTATTTCTAAAATGTTTTAATATTACCCTACATTTTTATTTCAATGATCTGTTTATCAACTGCTTTTGAATATATTTTAACGTAATCATCAGATCTACCCTGACAAGCTGAGTAGATGTTATTATTGCCACGTCAGAGATGAAGAGCTGTTACAAAATAATAATAATTAGGTCCACAACAAGAAATCCTGATTCAATGACTTTGGGTAGTGCCTGAACATGGACATTTTTGAAAGCTTTCCAGATGATTCTAATATGCCACCTGGGTTGAACACCACTACCTAAGGCTATTTAGCCAACTGTACTCTTTACAAGTTATGAAACAATGGCAACCGTTAAATTATAGCAAGTAAATGTAATTGCATATTTCCAAACTTACTGGCCAAATGTAGCTTTAAAAATACCATTTTATATTAAAAATACAAAAGTAAATAGTCTAGGCATAAATAAAAAACAAAGCAAGAACAATAAAGATCTCATTTATAGAAAGCTGACATAGTAAGGTACAACAAACAGGTCTACCATCTCTTTATCATCCAGTACAGAACAGTCGCTAGGCTAAGTGTTTTTAATGAATCATTGAAAATATTTTCAATAACTTTCTGAAGTAAGAACTATTATACTCATTTTTTTTACAGATGACTTGTATAAGGATCTTAGAAGCTGTATACCTTGTCCAAAGTCAAACTAGTTGAAAAGGAATTCTGTATGCTGGACTCTATGACCCCTTTCATCTCAGAGTTAAAACTAAGGCAAAAAATGTACTGAAAGATATGGAAGGATAAATACTAAATTGAGAGACATGAGAAAAGCCTACTCCAATGGCTCCTATAGGCCATATACATTTTCCTTAGTTGCCAGTAAAGTATGTTAGTTAAACAGAGGTCTTGGGTTTCATCTTCTATCAAGCATGACTACATTATTTATTACTTAGTCACGAGTTACCCCTATAGTCCTAGCCAGCACCATTTCCTCTTTAGTTGATAATATGAATTTATATGTTTGTGTCTTATAAGACCTCAAACTTCTCTGACTTTCTACGCATTACCTTAATTCTTACATATTATCACAAGGACATTCCATGGAGAAGCAGAAACCCCAAAGGTACCTCATTTCTCCTTATTACTGCCTCTCAACTCTAGGATCTGGCTTACTCCTCCTTTCTACTCTTTTCCTGCACCTAGGTAGTAAGTTTTTCAAAGGCAGCATCATTATTTTTTTTTTACAGCTATATATCCTCAGCCCTAACAAAATGGTAGTATTCAGTAAATGTTTGTTGAATTGAGCTGAATCTTTAAACACAGATACCATGCTCTGATAAGCATTTTATTTGGTTACAACTCTCAAGTTAGTTCAAATATTTACAATCTTTGTGGCTATTTTATTCACAAAGCTTGTATGTCCACCAATAACTTTAAATTGCTCAGCTTGCAGTATCATGGAAAATATTATGAAGTGGTCACTGAAAATTCCCCACTGTTACCAAGAAGATGAAGTCATATATATATATACACACACACACACACATACACATACACACACACACATATACATATACACACACATATATACACACACACACACATATATCAAAAAGCAGGCACCTCAAGAAAATTCCTAGTTACATTCTTACTCCCAGAATCTGTAGGCAACTCTATCCATCAAATTGAGCAATCAATAAATCCTGAGTGAATACACGTATGGGAGCTGAAAAAAAAGAAATTGAACTCATGGAGACAGAGAATAGGCTGAGAAGAGTAGTGGGAAGTGGGGAGATGAAGAGGCAATGGTTAAAGGGTACATGAACTCAGTACCCATTAAAAGGAATAATATCTATTGTTTGATAGTACAATAGGGCAACTACAGTTAACAATAATTTACTGTATATTTCAAAATAACTAAAAGAGTGGAATTACAATTTTCCCAAAATAAAGAAATGATAAATAGTTGAGGTGATAGATATCCCAACTACTCTTACTGCACATTGCATGTTTGTATCAAAATATCATGTGTACTTTATACATATATGCAATTACTATAATAATTAAAAATTAAAATTGTGTAAGAAGGTAAATCTAAGCAAGCTTCAAAAAGAAGTCTTGTGTGAATAAATGAATGGATGAATAGAAATAAATAATAATTTAGAACACATATATTTTGACGAATATAAATGCACAAATATTTTTATTAACAGATTTTGAAAAGACTAAAGGCTTAGTCTGAAAGAAAGTAGGACGAGACCCAAGATGGCTGACTAGATACAGCCAGGAGGAACATCTCACACTGAGAGACAGGGATATGGGGAAGACTAGCAAACTCTGAGCAGATCTTCAGCAGGAAAGCATTGAGAGTGGGTGAAGTGAGGACACAGACAGTGGGCTGAACTTGGGGAGGAAGCTGGGAGCCCTGTAGGGGGCTGTTGAGCACTGGGGCTCGTTCCTGGACCCCAGCAACTCCTGGGGAAGGAGTGAGTTAAATAGGTGAGGAGTGGTCTGTCCTCACCAGGAACCTCCAAAAGTCCCAGCAGCAAGAGAGCCTATGACTCCTACAGACACTTGAGCTGACACAGAGAGTTGGTAGAGAGGTGGAAGAAACAGGATTCCAGCCTATGCAGAGCCTAGAGGGTTTGGCACAGGAACAGTTGCAGTGGAGCATGGCCAGGGTGCCCATCCCCCAAGA